GGTACTACTACTGTAGTGAACACGAACACCAGTGGGGAAAATCGGATGTATGTGACACAAAATTACAGGACTTGTTAATAAAATCTAACAATCAAATGTTAAATACGTAATTTGCAAAATGTCCATCAATTGTCTCATAATGACTCAGAATTCATTGTTCTTGCATTTTCATACAAATTGCATTCTGTTCCCATTCTTTACTGTTTGATCCTCTTATGTCTCTGTTACCAGAAAGTCTGTTCCTGACTAACTTCATATACTACTTATGTCGATATAAGTAGCACACACCACACTTCTACTACTACCACTAATGATAATAATATTAATAGGTATCTTGTTTATGGACTAATTACTCCGAAAACATTCTTTTAGATAATCATTTCACATGAAAGGCTGTTGACATTCTCGGGAAAGTATGTATATAGTAATGAATGAAGTAGGGGTAACCAGTTTATTGGTTAATACAAAATTACAGAATGTCTTCGCAAAATACTAAAACCATACATTAAATACTTCATTTGCATACCTGCCATTAACTACCGCTTATGATCTTCATCGTTCCTTCATTCTTGTTGTCATTACAATTCCTCTATGTTTGCATTTCTGTTATCTTCAATTTGATCTTCGGAACTTTTTGCTTCTAATCATTCCGTCTCTGATTAGCGTTACACACTACTTTTGTCAACAGACATGCATCACAATATATATATATGGATAATAGACTGGTTTTTTATTAATTGAGATAGTAAAATGATGGTTGTCAGCACAAATCGGAATATATATTTTTTCAAATATTTAGCTTTACTCATTATGGTTATTTGCGAACGTCTTAAACTCATTTTTTTTTTCTATGGTTAATATATAGATCATTATTTTAATGATTAAAATATTCTACTTTCAATCATTAGAAAACAAATTTCAACCGTATACGACCTATCTTTATTTGAGCAGTTGGATAACAGCAATAATCATCACATGAAAGTATTGCTCAAAACAGATTATATGCAAATTTAACTAGTTACTTTAATAAAAATGTTTACGTATAGGGCTGTTACTTAGGTATAGAGTTTGATCAGTAACTCATGAATCATACGAAACACTTTAGTTGAAGTGAAAATCACTCAATTAAATATTATTATACAGACAGATTACTTTTAGTGAAATAGTGTTAATTGAATTCATTAACTTAATTATAATATGTACTGATACTTTCATGGTATTATGAATCATATAAAATTTTCAAGAGCTATTTCTCACTGATTATCTCGTCAAATGAACTGAAAGTTTATCAATGATTCTTAGAGAAATATAATCAAACTATTCTAATACTGTTTCTTTTGCCGATAAATCTATAACAAATTGTATTCCTATTATTAAATACTTAGATGTTTATGATTATCTTAATTATAAACGAAAGATAATAGTTACCTGTCAATATCTATTTCTGAAAACAATTTAATTATTCAGCTCTATTTATGAGAGAAATTATACCATAAAATTTACAATTTAGTTGAATTATGAATATATTACTCTTGATGTTGTTGGAATTTCCTAGTCTTTTTATAACTGGCTAATTTATCTAAGTAGTTCGAACATTTAGGGTTATGAATATTATATATCCTCCATTTCAAAAATACTTTATCTAAAATTCTTGAGTTTAAAATGTAAATAATGCGAAGACTGAATAAGATGATTTTAGATGAAATCCCAATATTATTTAGTGCAAACTTAGTCCTATATGAGATCAATTATGTCTTGAATTTCTCAGTGGTATTATCATCACTTAGCACATATTTTGGAAGTATATTTGAATTCTGTAGATGCAGCTTCAGTTTTCAACATATTTCAGAAACATCCTTCTAATTCGTTTCAACCATTTGAAAATTTTGATTCAGGACATTCTAGTTACTCAGTTTAAGTATTTGCTATTAAACCGAGTGTTACTCTACTTTTTGAGTACATGAAAGTCAATAATACTATTCTGTTGTATATGAAGAAGAAGATTAATAAATCTCCGAACGTTTAACCAGGATACATTAATTTATAAAATTTAATTTATTATGAAATCATGAAATGAAGAACAGTTTTAATTGGGAAAAATAACAATTATTAGATAGATTTCTTAATTGTTTGATATTGAACTGACTAAAAGTATTTTTCCTAAACTATTTAGTTCCGAGAGTGAAATTTTCGAACATTAACATTGTAACTGGACAAACAGATATTTTTTTAAATTATCAAATTACAAAAATAATTATTGACCACTATTATTGGCTTTCTTCTACATTTTTATCAGAAGATAATTTACTGAGTCGTTTTAACCATATGAAATAAACTTGTAACTATGATAAATAATGTTTATCAACGGATATCTGTCAATTATCCTGCTTAATTATGTTTTCTTCATTTAATACTATTTATAACTGCGCAATCCTTTGATTTAAATAACAAAAAACCTGGTTAATTGAAAGGATCGGAAACTCTATGCTCAATCATTCTCCCCCTACATATACAAGCACAAACACAGATTCAATCAAATCGTTAGTTATAAGATAATTAGATATGAAATCATGCTTTTCGTGTGTATGTGTGTGTGCATGTATGTATGTTTGGAAAGGAATACAGTATTGATAACAATTTCATTTTTATCATTATACCTACCAGTATGTTTTATATTTGTTTGTATTAATAAAACAAAATTTATTCATGTTTTTTATGGATTATATAAAATACTGGAGCCCATATTCTATAATTTGATAATTGCTTAAACAATGATCATTAGGGAAATGAAATAAGAATGAGAGTTTTTAGAATTATTACATATAGTCAAATAATTAAATGGGAAATCGAAAAGAAAAAAATAAATTAAAATAATTGAGGTCATAGTTTTACGGAATTTGTGTGTGTAGGTGTTTTTGTTAATAGTTTTGATCCCAAAAATTTTACCAGTTGAGCAAGTAATAAAACAAATCATTGCAGTATGAATATTAGTCGGAATTTCACAACTATTGGTAGTGTATACATTGAAGTTTTATAACTTATCAATGACTACAAAACTGTTAATTAAAAATCTAGCAAAAAATATATTTGAAGTTAGACTGAATATTGTTAGATGCCGGCTCAGTGGTCTAGAGATTAAGTATTCGCACACGAGACCGGAGGCCATGAGTTTGAGTCTCACGTGCGGGATTGTGGATGCGTAGTGTTAAGGAGTCCCATATTAAGGCGAAACGGTTGTACGGTGTTTCCAGGTTCTCATTGGTGATCTAACACTGATTGGTCCATGATCTCAATGAAAAATCAACAGCATATATAACTCTACACTGATAAATACATTTTAACATAAAGCATGAAGGGATTTTGTTGTTTAATTAATATTTTCTGTTTAATTTTTTCAAATGTTTATCATTTCACCAATAATGACTGAGATAGTTTACTAAGTTATTTATATAAAATTGTAAATTGTTTATCGCTGCATTCTCTGAAGAATCAATTGTTTCTAAACTTGATCTCATAATAGTTTGTAAGTATTCATCACTGATAAGTTTTAAAGTTAAATGAAAGAAATGTATAGTTCCTGTATGATTTCCATAGGTCATCTTTTAACCGATTTAAGTTCAAGATGATAAAGAAGATTTTTAACTCAGGAGGATGATTTTTATAGAATTACGTTCTATGAGCTGACTAGTTTAATCGTGAGGATTTTACTATCTTACACGAGAAAATCACTGGCACAACCATCAAATGATGTTGTCTGGGAAGATTATAAAAGCTTGACTATTAAGAAAGCAGATCCATTAAAATAAGTTTATTGTAAAACAAATCAAGTTTAAAAGAATAAAATTAATCCAAACTTTGAAGTATCTAATCCACTCAAAACTGTTAGTAAAGTTAGAATACTTTAACAAAAATTGAACTAGACTAGCATTCAACTGAGTGAAACAACTGATATATGTACTATTATTATTTTATACTATCATTTAAAGCAGTTTTTGTGTTTGGTACTGATTAGTAACTGTCATTTTTTGGATAACATACATGTCTGTGAATTTGTAGCATATTTATACTTCGAGGATCAACATGTTTGTAATACCTAGCATCTTTCCGTTCATTTAGTGGGTAGATATTCAATAAAGGAGCCTAATTTTCAAAGGGCTATTTCACTTTAATCTGTAACCTTCACTGCATATACCTTTCTCATTCAGGAAGTTGGAATGCCTTAGAGTGTCTTATTTACAGAAGACATATTTAGATAGCCTTAGATGATTGAAATGAAGTCCCTAGTAGAAATTTTACTCTCATATATATCACTGATCCACTGTATGAATGAAAAAAACTGCTCAAAAATACCAGATATTGAACTTTCGTTGAACGTTGGAAAGGGGTGATTATCCTCATAAGTGATTCGATTTTATAACATTTCGTTTTATGATCATTATAAGTAGGAGATTTATGGTTCAAAATTTTTGATAACGATTTGTCTGAAATTGAAATAATTATAAAAAAGGTTTTCAGAACAAAAGGTTTGATGAAGTGCTCCTTTAGTTAATTATTATACTAAAAAGCATTTGCTTAATTATGAATTGACTGTTCATATACTGAAAATAGCTCTAATCACAGAAATCAAGGTCGCTTAATCGACTAGTTATTAGATACTATGGTAATAAATACTGAAGAGCTAAACACGTCAGGTGGTTGAAGAGATTCTACAAAGAACCTATAAATTATATTCTGTGATCTCAAATATTCAAGAGACACTGATAATTTACCAAATTCTTAGTTCGTTGTTTTTTGTACTTGCTCTTATTTTATTTTACTTACAAAATATAAAACATAGGTGTTCTAGAAAATATATATACTGAATAAAGCAATAATTAGTGGGCTGTTTCCAACAGGTTTTCGTCTGTTATGTTATTTTTTTCAACGTATTTGGTGTACTTATTTTTGTTTGTCTATTTTCACATTCGTTTTAGGTGAAAGTTTGGTTTCAAAATAGACGTATGAAGAAAAAGAAGTTACAGTCACGTAATCATAATCCAACTGGTAATAATAATGGAATAACCAGTAGTCTTTCAGAAACTGGTAATGATATCACTGGTAAAGAAAGTGTTGAATGTATGCTAGAAGATGGTGATGATGAAGAAGAAGATGATGATGAAGACGGGCAAATTGAAGATGACGAAGATGATGAGGAAGAAGAAGAGGATAATGAGGGGGAAGAAGTGGGAGAAGATGAGGAAAAGAAAGAAATTGAAGGCAATCATCATCATCATACTCATGAACAACAATACAATCGAATTATAAATAATTTTGACAGTCATCGTAATCACTATAGCAACAACAATAATAATGAAATGAACTTAAGAGGACAGTTAAAACAAATTGCATTTATGAAAAAAATAGATAAAACTTCGGATTCAACTATTGAAGAATATGACGAGGATTCTGTAAGAAGTGAGAAGTTCAAAATCGAAAATGAATTTCTCAATTTAAGTTCAGATATCTATCCAAATGCATCATCATGTTTTATTGAATCAATAAATGATTATGAAAGTAGTCATCCATCAATTACAGATATAAGTAATAATAATAATAAACTTTACAATCGTATGAAATTTAATAAATTCTCCCATGAATTATTCCCTCCATTTTACTATAATTCATCAATTGAGAATAATTTAATGAATTCAGAATTCACTTTTAATCCGGTCAGTATGAATCGTGATTTATTATTTGATCCTTTAAAAGAATCGTTGAGAAACCAATTAGTTAATCCAAGCCAAAGTAAACATCTAAGTTCTCATATGGGATGGCCATTGGTTAGTAATAATAATAATAACAATGATAATAATAATAACAGTATAAAAGAATACAATATGAATTTATCGTCACCATCATTGTCAACGTCAATCCCAACAATAAGAACATCCACTGAATCAACAAATCATTTCACAAGATTATCTTCATCTCCCAAATTAGATTTACAGACAGACTATCATCCTATATGTTCAATGTTTAATAGTTCTTTCCATCCAACAATTGATTTAAAATCAAATTATTTAACATCTAACCGTCGATTCCAGCAAAGAGATGATGCTCATCACAACCAATTGCATAAACAACACTGTTTAAATATCAATCAATCTGAAATATGTGATCTTATACATTCAAATGGAAGCTCTAGAGGAAACGATTCTGTTCTAAAAACATGTCCAACAGAGAGTTATTCTCAAAAACCATTGAACTGTAGTGAAAATTTTAATACATTACCACAGTTGAATCCACATATTTTGTATGATAGTAATGAATCAACCGTAGACCTAACTATTAATACTGCTATAACCACAAATATTAATACTCCTACATCAATAGGTGTGCCTTCAAGAAGCAGAATGAATATTATGAATTACAATTTAAATACATTCACAGTAAATGACTCTGATTATTATATGGGTCCAGTAGAGTCTAATCACAGTTATACATTTAATCTTGACTGTTCACCAATCACTCATTACTCCTTTTTACCTACCTTAACAACGACATCAACATTAGGAACACAATTAACTACCTGTTGGCCTCCTATATCTACATCAACTACTAATAAATTCTTATCACCTCCTCCAGGGTTATATCCCTTACAGTCAACCAATCCTGATACGGAATTGAGTGCTACGGTATCAGATGATATCGATCAAAGTAGTGAGTCATTTTCAAGTAGTATAGATCATGAAGTGTCATTTCGAAAAAATATATTTCATTCCTTAAAAAGCTCTACAGCCGATCAAAATAATTGTGAATTAGATCAATCTAATTTATCTTATTTACCAACATCGATGAATGTATATAATCCATTCTCGAAAGGTTCACATAATTCAAATCATTTAAATTTCTCTGAAAGTAATGATTCGTGTACTTTCTCAACTTATACATCACAACTTAATAGTTCATGTAATATGAATGCAAATGAAACAATCAATCCATATTTACCTGAAACAGATTTTCATTTGATTACTGATCGTGGTCAAGATGATCATTCTATAAAACAAAATCCTTCATTAACACAATACTCATTACCATCTAGTAAAAATTTATCTCCATTACATCAATTAAACAATGTATTTAATCAAGCTAATCATAGCGATTTTAATCCGATGTTTTATTCACCATATTTGCATAATTCAAATTCATTTGGTTATTCAATAGCTGGACATGATATGTTAACTATTACCGATTCATATAATCCTAATGTTTTAAGTAATTTAACACAATCAATAAATCAGTCTTTCAATCAATCTCCTAATATAACTCCTGTTATTAGTAGTAGTAGTGGTACATTTACAATAAATACTACTATTCATTTAAGTAATTTATGTAATACGACCAATATAAATAATGTCACTCTACCATTCCCAATGATTTCTACGAATACACATTCATTAGACTTATCTTCTACATGATACATTTGAATTCCAATAATTGTGTGAATATGTATATTTTAAAATCAGTATTCTATGATCAATATAATTTCTAGTCTCATTTAACAAACTTTTTTAAATTTTACACTCCAAAGGAATGATATCTTAATCAGATAATATCTATTATGTAAATAGAAATGGACAAGATGATATTGTTCTTTATACTACAAAACAGTTTTAAACATAACAAATGAATGTCGATTGACTTAGATACAATCATGTATTCTTATAATGAATAATTAGTCAATCGTTATTCATATTATTATTATGTCATAATTTGATAATTAGAAATGAAATTGATTTATATTCATTTCAAAGTTTACATTTTGTGTCATTTAAAGAAAATTATATAAGACAAATTACTCCCTTGAATTAAACAACAATATCACCTTCAATATATTGATTGTAATGCTGGGATATCTGTTTTTTTTTTTTGGTTTCCTTGTGAATTAAAATCTTTTTTATAACAGTATTCATATTCTCATGTTTTTTCCATTGTGTCTCATATTTTATCGTTTCTTTCCTCTGCTTCGCTTATTCACTCATTCAGTTCACCCTACTTGACACGCACACAACCACACGACAAAAACTATGAAAAAGTAAGACTTAACCCAGCATATTTCTTACAAAGAGTCAATTTACCTTGTTTTTTTCCTGTTGACGTTGTTTGTTTACATATAAATAATTATTTACTATTATTATTTATAATTATTATTTGTTACTTGAATTTTCAATTGTTGAATTTTGATTTCGTCATCTTCACACTATTAAGACAAAACCAAAACAATTTTTTTCTAAAAAGAGAGAAATTAATGAAGAAAACGAAAACAATTTTTGTTTCTAAACAAAATTGAAAAGAAACTTTATAATTTACTATTCTTCCATTTGCCTCGCTCCCTCCCTCCCACCTTCCTGTATCATCTTTGAGGGTTTTGTAAAGTCACTTTTTTTCTTCTTCGATAACGAATATCATTAAATATATGTAATATGAGTCTGAAGTTGTTTATCAAATGTAATTTATTCTTCGAAAATCAGTTGCTATTGATTTAAACTTTGTGATGAGAGAATGAGGTTTATGTTCATTGAAATGGTTGAAATTTTATCGAATATAAAGTGGGTTCAACAGAAAATCAGTGTTTAATTGCTGGATAATGATCCTGTAAATTTAGTGTAGAATAGTGTTTGCATTAAAAATGCTTACTTGCTTAGTTACGTCTGTTACCCCTCGTAGAGGAGCATAGGCCACTCACCAGGGATTTTCATAGAACTTTGCCCTGGGCTATCCTTTCCGGTTGTTTCCAGTTGTTATCCATTCTCTTAATGTCTACTTCCGATTCACGGTGCAATGTGTACCTTGGTCATTACAAATGACAATCAGTTAAATTTTAAATTGTAAATAAGCCTAACATGTAGATACACAAATTATCAGTTTTATTCGCGTAGTGATGGGCAATTCCAAAATTAAAATTAAAATTAGTTGGAAATTAGTAAAAATAATTCAAAGCATTTATCATACAAACTGAAGTGGTTTAGTAACTGAAAATTCATTTTATTTAATCTTAAATCAAGCTAATTAGCTATACAATTAAACTAGTTCTCACCGAGAAATTAATTAGCATAAATAATCCTCTTTTACTCCTGCTAATTGAGAAAAATGATGTAGTATAGAACAGTGGTAAATTTCTACATGATTTATAATTCGAATTAGGAGAGATGCAGTTAAGAGGATATTCTAATATTTAGTTTATTTCGTAAATGGTTATAATTCTTCTACTGGTTATTGAGTCATTTCTTAAAATCTTTCGTTAAACTAGGAGAAATATTTGCCTTTTATAACTCAATACAGTACAGAGATCTCTAACGTATCAACAGTCGGTACAAAATGAATTAATTATGTACGTCCCAATTAGTCGATAATATCTATTGTGAAGTATCACCAGACTAATGAATAGCTTTTAGAGGAAATTCTTGGAGTCCTAGTAAGAGCTCGTGACAATTAGAGTTTAACCGTGTCGGGTGTCAGACAGCTATCCACCGAAGACAAAGGAAGATGGTCTCGTAATATCGTGGGTTGATTGTAATTAGACACTAACACCACTGGATGCCGGCTCAGTGGTCCTTGGTTCAACTCCCTCAAGCGAGGTCGTTGATGCGCACTGATGAGGAGTTTCATACCAAAATGAAATAGGCGTCCATTACTTCCGTGTTTTCAATGATGGCCCAACATTGATCGGGTCATGATTATACTGAAATTAATTTAAGTCAACAAAAAAATTCAAAACCATTGATTCACGTTTATAGCGTTTGCCACAAGACCTACAACTGATTAGTTTAATCCTGTTCGAATCCTATACCCAAACTGTTGAACCATTCTGAATCACGACAAAATAATTATTCTATAACCCTTAATTTTCACTATTTACTTAAATGATATCAGACAATTATAAAATAAATCGATTTCCAGAGAAAATTATTTGTGCCTAATATATTTTTTTTAAACACAATTACTAGAATTAGGTACACACAAACAAAACCTCGATGTTACAGTTCCATAATTGATGAATATTTAAGTTAGAATATATTCATTTGTGCTTTATTTTTAACTAGATATGAATAAATACATAAGGGCATTGATTGACACTTGATAATAAATTCATGTTATACGACTTGGATTCATTTACGTAATACTTATGTCGTATTAGCCGTGTAGAATCGGTAATAATAATAATAATAATAATAATAATAATTCAAATAAGCAATTGTAATTTTATTTAGTCTGATATTTATTTTAATTACTATTTATAATCATAACAGTTTATAAATTGAAATGATGGTGCATTACTAATATGTAAAAGAAATATATCACAATGCTTATATACAATGAATTATTTTATCATCATTATATAATGAATAAGAATAGTAATAAAATGTAATAATGAATAATGCCTTAAAATGTTGACTTGTTTAATAGATAATTAGAACTCAATAATCATACCATAATGAATTAATTGAATGATTGACCGAATTGGTTATTTAACTGATTCAAATGACTAGATTGAATGAATTCATTATTTGTCAAGGTCACTGGTTAATAAACATGAATGAAACAATTGAAGCTGACATTTTATTATTATTGTCATAAGTATTATTCAATTAATTAGTGATAAACTGGGAACGGTTAATAATTGGTATCAATAATATGATACTGAAAAGTTTATCATAAATAAAATTATTGCTTACTGTCATCCTCCTTCACGTTCAATTGTGCTTTAGAGATTGTATGAATATATTTATCATAAGATAAATTGAATAGAAGTAAAGTGATCAGTGTTAAGGATAACAGTTACCTGGAAGATAATTAGTATCATGAACTGAGGTCGCCCGGAAAACGGCTGAATACCATAGAACACTGGAAATCTTGATTCTTCTTTAATTTCTGGCCACTCAGGAGGTTCAAAGTTTTCAGATTAGATTTCATGTGTACCCATGGATTGCATGTTTCAGAGGGGTCCAAATAAGAAATAAAATAACTATTCAATAGTTTCTGATTATTATTGGTTTTCCAAGTATTATCGATTCATCAAGAAAACTACCTCTAAGATTTATCAATGACTTGAGATGATAGAGAAAATTTATAGTAGGATTTCATAAACATTTTCTTTTTTGAATTGATTAAAATAACCGATGAAGCTCTCAATGTCTTGGTAGAAAATATCGAAACAAAAATGTTATTTTTGAAGTAAGTGGTAATGTTTTTTCTTCGAATACTAATGAAAGCTTAGTAATTAATCTGTTCAATATAGAAAGCATAATGCTTTCACACTGTATAATGATCTCTACAAAACATTTTAGACGGATTTTTATCAAGGCTACATTAAATGATCAAAAATAACAAACTATGGAGTACTTATAAAAGTTAAAGAGTGACTAGTGATGGAATCGAGAACCAATTTTTCACCCTGTTTGAAGATTGGCCGCTGGATGTACCTGTATCCAAAACCTTTTAATTCAAATATCAACGCGTTGTTCATCAAGCTGAGTCCACGGAGCCAATAACTCATCCAATGAATTTGAATTTTATTTGTCAGAGTTTGTATTTTCCCTTTGTTGATATTAAAGACTACAATAAATCAGTTTCTATCGGCATACGTTGATCCTTAAGGGATTGTTTCGTTGTGGTCACATAGTTACGAGCATTGAGCATTTGCTTATCCACATATTAATAGGAAATTAGTCTTAGTGATATTCAATTTATTTTATACAAGAATCCTTGAAGAAACGCGTTACAATACATAAAAATTTTTATTGAATAAACGAAACGTGATTGTTTATTTACTGTTGTCATAGCGAAACAGAAATCTCATTCATATTATTACTGGTGAAATAGTCATATTTTTGGACACACAATTCTGGTTTTCCCAGACATAAAGCTATTGCTTCGGCAATGTTAAGAAGATGCAATCTAACTGCCTTTGATAGCCGTCTACTTATCTTGCAGATAAAATTAGATGTGAAAAAGGACAGACTCTACGAGCGATAAATATTCTTTGAAGTAATAAGTACTCCCTCATGAATTTCACTTTAATATCTGAAGTAATATAATCTGAATTCAGTTCTACAAGATAATACTAACACTTGAGTGAGAATAATTAACTTATCAGTCCTCATTAAAACTAAACGTTTATACTAGATTTCTATGTTAATTATCAATAAACAAATAATATAAAAATTAAGTTTTATCACTTTCAATGAATTAAAAAAACAACAGTTTGCATGTCTGAATTAAATTCAAATGATATGAATGAAAAAATTAAAAATCATTGAAATTCTCATGACTGTTTGTTTAAACAAATAATGGATTATTTTCTTCTGTTTTAAAATAAAATCCAACAATAAACTTACGTACTTACTTCTTGCTTACGCCTGTTACTCCTCGTGGATAAGAATAGGCCACCCAGTAGCATTCTCCGTCCTACCTTGTC